TTTGCCACGAAATCTTTATGCATTGTGAAGTATATGTTTATAGCGACTATGAATGAATGTTTACGTTGTTTGACATCTATCGATAAGGTAATGTGTTTGAACCTCAGCATCATCAGCCATGGAATGGCCTTGAACAGATCATTAACAGGTAGTTGTCTCGGATGTCTCATTCACTAACCTATTGACTATATCGTTAGTCAATATGTAGAGTAGAAATTTCCATATACATGTTAAGACGACGTTACTATTATAGTGACCGCTAACCTATAAATGATAAATGAGAACGTATTGAATGGAAGGGATGCAGATATTGCCGTCTGTCAAAAGAAAAAGACGAAGGAACCCAGCTGCATGTGGACCCTTTTAGCAGCTGGTCCTAACGGATGATAAGCCTATGGGAGATATTATTATTAATATATATTTCTATTAGATTTTGATGGAATTTCTGACTCAGGACAACCTTGTCTCAAAAGAAGAGACGTAGGTGGATATGGAACAAACAAGAACTAGTTGTCTACGAGATAAATGGAATTTGTAAGATTGTATACGGTGCGATATATAAAATTCATGATGTCTTTGTGAGTTCTATATATATTGTAAAAGAGGAAATATATGAAAGTCTCATTGGTAGCCTCTTATTCTCATGATGAACGCTCAATATATACCTCTTCTTATGAAACATAACTAGTTTTAACAGTTATTCAATAATCATAGAGAGATAGATCCAGCTTTTTAAAGCTTCTCTTGTATAGATGAGGGCACAGAACAGAGCTACCAGCAAGTTACTTTTTTCGGCCCGGTCTGCATTCTAAAAACAATAGGTTTTTTACTGCACTTCAAAAGTTTCGCATTTTTGCACCCAACGATTTTAAGTTCAGTAGATTGAAAATCGTTTCGTAATCGCCATACAAAATCTTTTTAATTTGAAAAGATTTAATTAGGTTTCAGAATTTACATGCAAAACCTTACGAGAGTTTCGTAAATTGATTTGTAGTTTCGCACGTCATAGATAAACCTCTGACAGTTTCGTAAACTGCCTTATGGTTTCGTATATGATGCACCAAACTTCTAATAGTTTTGAAAATAGGTTAGTGGATTGGCATACATTTCACTAAATCCTCGATAATTTCGTGGGATTATTAATGGTTTCGTACATCATGTACTGAACCTTGGATGATGTCAAAAGTTATTTTATAGTTTCGTACTTCTTGTATTAAATCTATGATAGTTTCCTACATTTAACACTAAACCTCTGGTAATTTCGTAAGTTAGTTTATGGTTTTACAGATTATATACTAAACCTTCTGTAATTTCGGAGATTACTTTGTGGTTTCGTACATCTTTCACCAAATCTTCGATAGTTCTACAAGTTAATTTATAGTTTCGTACATTATATATGAAACTTTTGGTAGTTTCGAAAATTATTTTATGGCATTGTATATTCTACACTAAACATCCGATGGCTCCGTAAAGTAGTTCATGGTTTGCTAGATCATCTACTAAACCTTCTATACTATCATAAATCAGCTTACGGTTTCGTACATCTTGTACCAAACCTCTGATAGTTTCATAGGTTCATTATTGGTTTCGTACGTCATGTACTGAACGTTTGATAGTGTCTGAAATTGGTTTTTGGTTTCGTATTTCTTGTACTAAACCTGTGATAGTTCCGTATATTTAACACTAAATCTCTGGCGGTTTCGTAAGTTAGTTTATGGTTTTGTAGATTATATACTAAGCCTCTAGTAGTTTCATATATTTCTTTACGGTTTGGTGGATCTTTTAGTAAACCTGTCATAGTTTCGTAAGTTGAACTGCGGTTTGGTACATGATGTACCAAACTTCAGATAGTTTTATGAGTTGGTTTATAGTTTGGCACATCTTCCACTGAACCTCTGGTAGTTTTGTAAGTTAATATATGGTTTCCTAGATCACATGCTGAACCTTCAATGGTATCCAAAGTTTGTTTGTGGATTCATACATATTGTATCAAACCTTGGCTAGTTAGGTAAATCACGGAAGTTTTTATGATATGTTGACAAATAGCTTCTGGGCATCATTATGGAACCAAAGGTCCCGTTGTTTTATGCGAATAATAATCTTAAGTTTCGCAGCAAATTGAAAGGTCGCATTATGTAAACTGAGCTTTTCGCCATGGAATTATGTGTAGATCTCGAACAGTTCGGATTTAATTCTGATCTACAGAACTGTTCGAAATAGAGAGCTGCGGTTCCATGTTTTTTGGACCCTGACCCGGATCCGGCAAAAACTAAATTTTCAGACTCGAATCCAGTCGGGTCTAGACCCGATCTTTTTCTCACCAATATCTGGCACCCTCTATGTACAGAAGCAGATAAAGGTACAAAGTTTTAGCTCTTCATTGGCCACTTTAAAAATAAAGCCAATGTAGAGTTATTCTTTGTTGTTCACTTTTCACTACTAAATGGTCATTAAAGTGAAACTTTTCGATTATTGAAAAGCAAACTATGTTAACGAAAAAAGAAATTGAGCAATTAATTGATAAAAAAAATTCGTCATTGAGAATCGTCAAACCAACAGTAATACAAAAATCTTCAGCTGTATGGAATAGTTTTAGTCGTATTTATGTTAACGATATCAAACAGGAATATGTTATTTGCCATCAAGTGATGATTTACTTATTTATAAAGGATCTTCTGGTACTAATTCTTTATCTAAACATATTAGTAGCTGTCAAAAGGTCAGAACCACAATTTCTCATGATCAGACAAATATCAATCAATTTTATGCATCTTTAAAAACTGAACCTGCTATTCCAGTTCGAATAAAGCAGAAAATCAAAGTTGCTTGTGTTGAATTTGCAGCAGTTGATTCTTGATCATTTAAAACAATTCATGGAATAGGCTTCAAAAATCTTGCACAAAAAATTTTCGATCCCGGCATATACTTACCTACATCTAAAGAAATTAATGTTCAAAAACTACTTCCACATCCAGCAACAGTAAGAAAAACAATTTTTAATCTATTATAATCGCAGCAAGATGATTTTCTTCTCTTTCCTAGGTCAGCCGTCACGTTAGTAAATTATATAATCAAAATCATCAGCAATTAATTTCAATTTGTGAGAAAATGCGTGAATACACTGTTGTTGTTGATTTTTCGAAGGATATCCATACGGGTTCGTTGGAATAACTTTTCACACACATCTGCTACTATTTCTTTTGTCCTTTAAAGTATTCAATATTGTGGAATTTCGTTACATCACATAAATGATGACTGGAAATTATACTGAGTTGTATTGGCATGCTACCATTATGATCTTGAATCAAATAGTGCAATTAATACAAGAAAATTTATTGAATCAAAACTATCTGACTATACATTAGAGTTAAATGAGAATGTTTACATTGTTTCCGATAATGAACCAAAGATGCTTTCAACATTCAACTTAAACTGTCAGCGTATTGGTTGTTCATGTTGTTTCATGAACCAACAGCTTGAACATACGTTTACTAAAAAAGAAATTGATAAATCATCTGTACAATGTGATCTTGCTCAAGTATTATTTGAACGTGTAAAGAAAATAGTTTCTCATGTGAGAAGGTCTCATAAACAGACCAAGATGTCGAGAAGAGTACAAACGTACTCAGAAACGAGATTTAATAGTGCTTATCATATGTTACAAGTATTTCTAGATATTTTTGATGAATTAGGCCTTGTTCTTGATAGCATAAATTTAAACGAATATTTATTGTTGGATAAAAAGTTTTTGGAACAATTATGTTCATTTCTGAAAGTGTTCGATGACATAATCGAACAACTTAGTGATGATTAACGACCAACAATTTATAAAGTTCTTCCACTTCGTCAACGATTACTTAACGAATGCGAAGTAAAACCGAACGATTATGATGCCTTCAAAGAAATGATGTTTTTCTTGTCTAAGTTATCCGCTTTCCTTTTTAATTCCCAAATACTGTTTTTATATGAATGAACAAGAAGAAAATAATCATAAAGCTTTTATTACACTTAGACTACCGACATACAATCAGTTATGTAATCTATTGTTTTATTCTTTTATTTCATTGCAGCTCGACGTCTTAAAACTGTATGGGTTTTGCAGGACGTTCACTATATTTCATGTTTGCTTCACCCGTCTTTAAATCAATTTCAAATTGCTTCTCATGAAAACTCTAAAGCTGTGGATTTAGTGAAAGCTGAATTGTTAAAACGTCAATCATCTGCATATTCTGGATCATCAATTATCAATATAACGCCTTGTTCTTCAACAAAGCGTTTAACACAAGGGGGAAAAAGCTGATTTAAATCACTCCAAATCAAATTTAAATCATATAAATCACTTTTAAATCAATTAAATCAAATAAATCATTTTTAAGTCGAATAAATCAAATAAATCACTTTTGAGTCAAATAAATCAAATAAATCACTTTTAAATCAGATAAATCATCTGAGGGTGTGGGTGTGGGTGTTAGCAAATTAAAGATTCACACCCACACCCACACCCAAAACAAACAAGTATTATCGATCGATTATATTACTCGTGGACCACGATATTTATAGTTCGTTTTTGGTCTTCATGGATTGAAATAACCGATCATACTGATCTCCAAAGAATAATCTCGCATTTATTACCGTCTAATTCCATGAGATCTATTTCAAAACCAGGATTGTTTATAACCGTACCAGCTCTCTTCTCACTTGAACTAAATGTTCATACTTTGACGTACTTAATGGTTCTTGTCGCAGAAAAAATTATAACTGAAGAAGCTCTAAATATATCTCTTTTTAATTCACAGATATGTGAAAATGTTTTTCGCTCAACACGATCAATGTCAGGTCCGTTTTCCACGGTGGTGAACTTTTCTATTAACGAATTTCTTCAACGTGTTGAGAAGTTGAGCGCTCTTCAAAATATCAAATGCTTATCTGATTCAGATGCTAGCAGTCTTATCTTCCCAAAACATCACAAACAATCACAACAAATACATCAATTACTAACAATGAACACAACAACTACTATTACAGAACAAATAATTGAAGAAACAGTATATAGTGCTTATCTTGAAGCTAGTCAAATTCTTTCTGGTTGTAATTTATCGATTCTTAATCCTAATGGTAAATATATATCATTTGAAGAAGTTAATCGATTAGCTCATCAAAAGTTAACAAGATCACAATGTAAAACTTTTAGTAAAAGAGAAAATCAATCGAATAGTGATAAACAAGAGGAAGATGAAGATCTTGAACAATATCTAAGTCAGAAGCAATCTAGTGGAACCAATATCATGGATGATTTGGATGAGCCGCTGTCAGGTGACGAATCAGGTGCTGATACTTTTTCAAATGTATCTAATTCGACATTTAATGGAATGCGGATCTTTGACTCCATCAGTAGGCATCAAACAGAATTGTTCTTTCCCATTGAAATTAATGGAGAGAAAAAATATCTTCATAAACAAACCGCAAACTGGTATTTCTCAAAGACAAAACCTTCTTTATCATTTGATCGATCACATAGAGTTCAAAAGAAATAGGACCTTTATATCTTTGTCTTCTACATATATACAAACCATTTGCATAATAAAAAAAAAGATTGTTCTACTTTCTTATCCTGTCATTTTTTGTACTCAACTAAGATTCAAATCCTGCAGTTATAAATATATACATTACAGTTAATTTGCTATCAAAATAGCAAAAGAGTACTTCGAGTTAAATGTTCTCTTTTTATGGGTGTATAATACGTTACATCAGACAAACTAGAACATGTAAATCCGTGAAGTGTTACGTTTTCTACGTGAGCTAATTGACTGATTATTGCACCAATGGCGTGGTAAACTAATTGGATAACAAACTACTATCATCATTCAATATAACCTCTTTAGGTCTGCACAGAAAATAGTAATCCTATATTCCTGTAAAATCGTTACACGACGCCTGATTTATGTGATTTTTAAATCACTTTAAGTCAGTTTTGAGTCAAAAAAATCAGCTAAACTCATTTTAAATCAAAAAAATCACCTAAACTCAATTAAATCAAAAAAATCACTTAAACTCATTTTAAGTCAATAAATCATAAATCGCTTTTTCCCCCTTGGTTTAACAACATCAAAATCACAACAACTTACACCAACAACACAAAATATTCTTTTAGAATGCTTTGACCATCGTGCTGAAGATAAAGATCTAGTATTAGTTCCATCACCAGAGGAAGAATTAATGCAGTATTTGTCTTCAAATATTACAGTTGAACCTGATGATGATGTCTTATTGTTTTGAATAAAAAACATTAGAATACATTTACAACTGTCGCTTCAATAGTAAAAACTATTTATAATATTCCAGCTTCTGACACTACAGTCGAGCGTTTGTTTTCTACAGCTTGTAATACTATTTGTGATCGACGAACAAACCTAGATGGCGCAAAGGTGAATAAATTACTTTTTCTTAAGCAAAATTTATTGACATTAAAAGAATTTGATCGTCAAAAATTGTTATTCATACATGAAAAACGAAAACTAGATCAAATGTTATTGCCTTTGTCACCAACAAACTCGAACAACGTTGACGCCAACGATGATGACGAAGAAGAATTATTTTTTCCTCATCAACAACAAAAAAACGCTCGAACTTTTGATGATGATCAATTTAGTGATGAGGAAATCATTAACAAGCACAGTGAGAGCATCGACGAACAAGAATAATAACGAAAGATTAATTTTTTTGTATTAAAACATAGTAATATATAAGAGTAACGAATAGGTGTTATTGATGTGTTGATTATTTGGTTTTCATTGTCGATTTGTTTTTTCAGCTTGATTTTATTTTTGGCATTTGAAATGACTTTTGTTAATTATAGAGATAAAAAGAAACAAGAAACCTTTAAAAATAAGAAAGAAAGCAATATTCGTTGACTTCAATTGTTATATATTTTGATGCGTAACTTAATGCAGACCGAGTCTGAAGTTAAATTTAGATATAGACCCGGACCCGCAGCTCTCTAGTTCGAACAAATCAGTTCTAGGGACTGATCCACCGATTTTCGAACACTATCTAGGGATTCTCTTTATAACTTGATCACAGTTCTTCGTACTGAGGAGTCTCCTGAATCAGAAGACTCTTTCTTGAGGCATATGAGATTCAAATTTTCCTCAACATACCCCTATTTCCAGGTAGTTTTTTTCTCCATTATTGCAGAGACAAAACATGGTATTCTTCGTTGCATATGATAGAGAACCATTGGTAATCCCTGGGCCAACCAAGACAACACTATCCTTTGCATTGACGATTGTAAGAAATTCGTTTGCTGAGATCTGATTCATTAGACGCGCCGGGTCCTCTTTCATATACCCCCAACAATAATGTTTCCTCCATAAAATAACAGAAAAAAAGCATTCAGGAAAAATAGCGGTTTCCTCATGCAAATCTCAAAATGTTAGATTGAACATCAATTCAAACAATAATTCGATAGCTAAAACCAGATTCATCATCATATTCTGAATCTGATTATGATGATGAAACAGTGGAAGGCAATGAAGTTGATAAGAATCTGTTCAACTTGGATGCAGAAAATCGAGATGTGACAATCACACAAAATGTTGATGAAATTAAAATTAATAAGATGGACTTTAGTCGTATACGTATATTTGATTCGATCAAGCCAGCAATGAAGAGCCCTTATTTTCCAGTGCAAATAAATAGCAAGCCTAAATTTATATATAACCAAACGGCTTGTTGATTATTGACCGATAAAGTTGGCCGTTTATCGATTGATAGGCATTCACGACTGATAGAAACAAACGAAAAGATTAAAACTCTTCATTAAATTGATATCGAATTGATAAAACACTTCTTATGGAAATGAATAAGTTCATTAAAAAGAATTGAACTATTAACTATGTTTTATTTAAGTTCAAACGATCACGAACTTTTCCGACAGGTTGACAAAGCAATAAACGTTCATATTTCTGCTAAAATAAGATCATCAAAAATCTTATTATTTTATTGGTTTTTTTTTATGAATTTTTCGTGCGCTAAGTGTACGTCAAAAATCCAGAAGACTTCATGTGAATTCATGAGACTTCAAGAGAATTCATAAGATTTCATGAGATTTCAAAAGACTTCACGAGACTTCACGAGACTTCAGAAGACTTCTGAGATTTCGTGGGATTTCAAAACTGAAGTCTGAGATGTTTCGCCATCGGGACGTTGCAGTCTCTGATTCTTGCAATTCTGTTCGTAGAAAACGAGAACCAACTTGAAAATTCGTTTCTACAAATTTTTGAGCATTCAGAGACATATTACTCTTTCGATTTGTATCAAGTCACTGTGAGTTCTCGAGCTTTTATAAACAGGAATTCGACCGGATCCTGAGCTCCTAGAAACGAAATGCGAGACTCATATCCCTACGCATGTTTCCTGTCAATTTTAATAATTTGGGCTGCTATATCGACAGATCATGTGAGAATTTATATAGTCTTTTAAAAGTCTGTTGATTCAGCGGTATTCAGTCGAATATGTAAATTTTCTGGATTTACTTCGCATTCTCGTGCCCAGGACAATCCTCCTTGATCGTATACGACCGTGTACCAACCATATACGATGGATAACGGAAACTGTTCGCGTTAGTCATTTACGGCAATTGTGAACGATGCTTTACGCTGTAATGCGCTCATCGTAAACAATGATCAGTAAAAGTTGCCGTTAATGAGTACAGTAACAATGCGGAGAGTGTATACGTGCAAAAGATAAAAAGCTGTATAGCACCGTATACGATACCTGTTTTCGGTAGCCGTATCCAGCAACCGTAAACAACTCTTTTTCTAGTATTACGCCCATCACAAACGGCCAGCGTCAAAACCCACAGCTTACGGCCGTCCATAAATCACACCGACCCTAAGCGATAATCCGGCCATTTCAACTGATAAATCAGATTTCGACATTATATTTCTCAGCTATACAAAAGCTGGACACCCACACATATAACCCTCATTCGAAAGAGCGTTCTCAATAACCCTAGGATCGACCCGAGCATAACAACCCAGGTCCGAAAATTTGATGTAAGATCTTGTCATCTGCGTGTAAGATCTTGCAATCTGGACGAAATCTTACAAGAATCTGACAAAAAATCGTAGTCTAACGAGGGAACTATCCCAAGTGTTAATCACCGATCGGGTTCATATTTT